ATATATCAATGTGGTATATATATATATATATATTTCTCATGTCGATACCTGTCATGCATATTTCACAGTTGTCAGTCATAAATTCAAACTTCGTCAATCCTAATCAAGTACATGGCGGTGCTTCTAAGATGTGAACACTTCCTCTGTATAAAGACGAAAGAAATATTCTAAAATAGTTCCTATATTAACCCTGGATATTTTTCACGGAAGCTAAAATCTGTTCCCAATTTCGGCGTAGCTATCCATCAAATTAAGTAGGAAAGGCGATCAAAATAAGATCATAATTGCTGATCCGTTTCTCGTGTAAGTTGCGTAGCTCCCAGCCATAAAAATGCGCCAACTAACCCATGACGTTAGAACATACGGCACCAATTTCTTTCTGCTTCTAACTTTAATGGGATGACATATAGCTTGGTCTTCTAGAATGTAACTCGGTGCAAACACTGATTGGAGGAAGGTTGACGTTCACTTGGGGCTTTCTCTAGTGGAACGGGGCAGGCGCTGAGGTGAAATTGTTTTGAAGTTTTATTGTAGAAAGTTATACGGGAGGAATGAGTGTATACACTAGACGATGCTCATTTAGAATACCTTTCGTTGATTTCCATTTAAATGTTAGTACCAAACTAATCCTTAATTTGTCGAAATGAATTGTTAAAACTAAACGGAACAAGTATATGACATGGAATCGCAGTGTATGGAACAGTAACCTGCCCGTGTCACACCAGTAATGAGGAATTCAGTGTCATGAGGCACAGGTCGTATGAGACAGTAGCCCCCAAATAACATATTGTTAAGATGTCTATTGGAAGTAATATCCATAATAATAATTAATTTTAAAACATATATATATAGTCTGTCCATGTTTTGCAGATTTCACAGTGCTATGGGTAATAAAAGTAATTTTATGTCAATTTGGATGCCTTTCGAAATGCCGACCATTTAAATGACCATGAACGTGTCAAAAGCAGATATCAGCACCCGGTAGCTGGTTAAAAGCTCATTCCAAAAGTTTTTTTCATACGTGCATGTAGAGACTAATTGTTTTAGCCCGTGTCACTTTCACAGTTTTGTCACAAGAATTAGCCATGTCTTATTTCAAAGCGACTCTGTATTTAAAGCAAGCGCACACAGGCCTGCATGTTATTGGATAGTGTATGTACACTTTACCTGGACACGCATATATCGTCTCATTGATTTTAATCCGTCGTAATTTCTTCTAAGCTATGCGTTTGATGTATTTTGGTAATATTTGTTTTATTCAAAAATATGTTGTAAACTTTTTATATTCAACGCTGTATTATACCATAACGTATATACGTGCATTTAAAACATTCATCACTTGTTCCTATTTCATAAATGAACACGTATTTCAATATTTATTTTTTAAGGTTTATAATAACTTACTAGCGATACGGCAGTGTATACGAAGGCGATTGGTAATAACAGGAATTAATTAATAATGATAGAATGTTTCAAAACGAACAAGAGTGTCTAAATCTTTGAATTTGTTTTGAAAGAAAATTAAAGGACAATCGTTTACATAGTAATTCACATTGTATTTACAAGTTTGATATAAACAAAAGTACGGCCGTTTCACCCTTTCAAAATTCCTACCATTTGTATGTGTGTCTGGTGAAGCGATCGCCGTGTGCGCAGATGCCACACACGTCTTAATGTAAATTACTGCAAGTGCGTGCTGCACGAGAAGCACGCGCGCTCGGGGAAAATTCGAAGAGGCGCGCTGTGCCTCACAATTACAATTTCTTACAAATTACACGTATTTAACCAAATTTTATGTACTTTGTGTTTTACTTGTATGCTATTAATGTTTGTTGTATTCTTTGTTATGACACTTCAGTGGATTATCCTAAAGTTAAAATAATATACACGTGGAAATATAGGTATTATCATTATTATAACCAATGTTGTTATTTTGTCGATGCTGCCGTGACCCACATAATTTCTTTAACATCTACGTGTACCCGAACATCAAAGTTTATTGTCAGGAAATAATGGATGGTCCGTATATTTCTTTTTTAACTTTTTAATCCACTGATGAAGGAAAAAGAAAGAAGGCACCAAGTCATATTTATAAGCCGCAGTAATAATATCTTTTTATGATAACGATATGTATATCATTTACTCATATTTTGCTATTTAGATGTATAAGTTTTGACAAACCAATATTCATGTATTTTGTCGCTGTGCAAGTCATTTGTTTGTTGTTGAACGCCGCACTCAGCAAAATTGCAGATCTATGACAGTGGCCTGTAAATATTCATATTCATACGTTCCTGGATATGTTTGGATACATAATTCAACAATGCTCAGTTTGATCTAAAAGTCAGCAAATAATATTTCTTACGGTCTGGATTCTAATTTGGAATGAGGCGTTTCCGAATGTAGAATAGATTTGAAAGTGTCCTCGTGAGAGAAGAAAGACCCCGACCAAGCTCCGAGCCAACATTTGTCAATGATCTTTGACAATACTAGATTATGAACAGAGAATATGATCCACAATGACTTAGCCAGTATATATCGGCCAACTGTTTCCTTGTAAAGGACGAAAGGAAAACGTCATCTCATTTGAACGTTTAGATCGGAAGGTGGTATGATATTCCGCCAGTGTGGATCAACGCTACATTTCTTCACTTTTCTTGGCTCGTATTCACATAAGATACGTTTTTTTTAAGAATTAGCAGTTATTTCAATCAATAAAGAAATTTGAGAAATTTGCAGATGCATTTATAATTTCCAGTCCAATTATTTCACAGATGCGCAAATATAGAAAAAAGGACAGGGAAGTAAGAATGGTTAAAAAGTTTCCGAAACATGACGATTCCAGTGCATCCCTGCCAAGCTTTGGTCACAGGGCATGAAGTCGTTATACCACTAGATGGTATTCTGGATAAGACGGAAGACACAGTCCATCCTGTCAAGATAGAGGCTGTACGGACGGTGGTCTTTGAAAGCAATAACTCACGATAAGTAGTCAAGAAACCCATTGCTTCATCGCTATCATCCCCGGATCTGTGTATTATAAATTAATGAACAGATCCTTAGGGGCTATAAACCATGACAGGAATAATAATCAGCCCCTAGCGTGGGGGACCGCCCAATTTAGATCTACCGACGCAGGAAGGGACCGATGTGGGTAGGAAACCCTTCCCCAGTCTTCGGCTCCCGACGAGTATTCCTTGTGGACATTCATTAAATGCTGGCCGGGTTACGAAGGGGGATATTATTGTGAATTTGGCTAATTGGATTGTTGATAGAGGCAAATACACATTGGGGTTATGGCTCCTCCGAAAACCTTACATATCATTCGCGGAATCCGTTTAATACGGATAATGGCGCGAACAGGTTTTGTGTCGTCTGCGTCCCGGGGAGCAGACGATAGTTCTAACAGCTTTGTATATAAACTTAGTCTCTGGGTGGCAGAAATGCAGAGAAGGGTTCGTTCCATACACAGACGATATGTTGAGAATATAATTGTAGGATAAGAACGATCAGTCTGTTTGAAGTTCCACCATCAGATAGTTCCTTCATTTTTGGCCCAGAGAAGCGATAATCATCCAGATACTGGGTCGTCTGCTATGTTTCAAGACCTACCTTCTATTGCCTTCGCCGGAGGAACAAATTAAATTTCATTTCATAGCGTCGGAGAGCGTGGCTTTTCCCAAGGGTGTGAAAAGTAACCAAAGACATATGGAAATATTGTTTGCAGTTAATGAGATGTAGTGGGCATAAACAATCTACGTAAGAACCTGCTCATTTCTTAAAAGTTTTTACCCCCTTTCGCTGAATGAAAGTCCCCGCAGTCAACTGTAAAACGTAATTGTGTGCAAAAAATGTTATGCGATTCTGTTATCGTAAAATCTACATTTTCACAAATAAAACAAATAAACGTGTGTAGAGTTATGCGTATTCACATGGAACTCTGTTGCGTTATTCCAGATGATATAGAAGTAGTAAGTATAAGTATTTACACGTCACAAAGACATAACGGCATTGTCAGCGATGATTTCACCGTTCTGCTTAACTATTCGCGTGTGATACATTGTAGGAAATAATGAGTGAGACAAGATGTAAAAGAGGAGGAAGCAACTCACGCGGTAATTGTATGAATCAGAATATTTATATAAACTGACGTATTGTTGGTGCGCACTAACGTGTTTCTTCGGAAGCGTGAAGTAAAGCGATGTGTACAAATGCCATCTTTGAAACACAACTGCAGAAACATCAGCTAGGTCTAACTTAAACCTATACCCTTGTCCAGATTATCACTGGACATTCTGTTATGCAAAGTTAAAGCAACACAGTATATGTTAGTAATAGTTTGCAAACAATACGTTTAATCCTGTAACACGACATACATTCTTGAACCAGGATGTTCAAGAGAATTTGTGAAAGACAGGGTCCATATTGTGACAATCACATGAACAGTTTTATGATACAGTATTACAAATGTCTGGAGAGGAAATACTAAAAGAATTGTGTCAACAAAGCGTTGCTCACCACTGGTCCAGGTCTGACAACACTGGATGTACGACCGGATAATCCGGTCGGGGAGACCCACGTGTTGAGAGATTGTGCTGGTCGTGTAACATCCGTGAGGTTCACTCCTGGTATGCGTCCGCTGGACAGTGTGTTATAGTGTGTTATAGTGTGTTATTCTAAACAAAGGTGCTGTAAACATGAAGTGCATCTGGTTATATCGCTGCAACTACTTAATTCCAGCAGACGACATTCCTGACGTTGAGAGTAGACACTAGCGGGAGTATACATCACGCAACACGCAGCACACACAAGTAAGCAGAACACACAACTCAACTGCACACATCTTTACCCTCTCTACCTAAGAACCTCTTCAGCTCATCCAAATGAATTGAATCATATCATATGAAATGAACACACACAAGGAGATGTGGATTTCTACTAGAAGCGGCTAAGTAGAATCTTAAGTATCTCTTAATCTCTCAGAGCCCTCTCTTACTTACGTTTTGTGTCGACGCTGTCGTCGTCTATGCAAGGTGTTGGCGGGGTGTGGATGACAGTGTCGAAGTCTTTTGCTGATGGGGGTGGCCCGGCACCCAGGGCAGTCCCAGGGGAGCCGCACGGCAGGGTGGTGTATGTCGGCTGGATATGATCAAGAGTCGGAGATGCAGGACTTCCATAGATACAAGAAGCGTAATTATTCATCTGCAGTTGATCGCAAGATCTTTGCGTCTCGAAAGGAAAATTAGCAGTCGGCATAGGGAAATTCATCGCCTGATAGTCCAAGTGATTTTCGCCGACTCCGCTAAGCAGAGTCTTAACGGAAAAGTTAGAATAATTGGAATACATTTTACAATATCCGAGGAGTTGTTAGTCTTTTGGATGCACACACAGTCTCTGTGATGTTTGTAAGCGGCAACCGACGGCTGTGATATCGTGCAGGACGATCACTTATCGGGAACGAATCTTGCAATGACAAACCCACGTACTCCTAGCTTCAGCCAATCAGCACGTCGCTCTCAGAGAACGGCGTGAGACCTCCTACAGTGTGTGTAAACAGCCAACAAGTCTCAAGGACTTGCTAAGTTAGTGACCATCTCATGAATATGCATGAGCTCTATTTCTTGTCTCCGTTACACGCTGGCTATATGCCGACAGTTTGGCCAATTATTGTCGATCACGATGTTAGTAATTTCTTCCTTGTATGCCATGTCAGTGTCTGCTCTGTCTTTCACATACGTCGCTAAATTGTCCACAATCCTTCAAATGCAAATGGGGAATATTTAAAATATTGATAAAACTGTGTTTAAATGGAAATTTAAAAACTTAGAATACAAATCTAATGGCATTCTCTAAAATTCCTATCGCACTGTTTCAATATTGGATCTTTCCGTGCATGTTACAAATATTTCCTCGTATTATTTTAAGACACTCATAATATTAATATGATCAATTTTGATACTTTCATTGACATTGTATGTCACTGCATGTGAACTATCCAAAGGGTGGAAGCCTTGTATCTTTCACCAAATACTTCCTGCAATCGTAATAAAGTGATAAATGTTTGGGGTGATATCAACATTAATATATTATCAGTGGAAACACAGACGAAGCTAACAATGACCTTTATGTGTTTTCAAAGTGGCGCTACTTTGTCTAAGCTGACCAGGCAGCCTGTGTAATTACTCTGTCTAATGACTTTGATAAATCCGAGAAGCGCGAAGTCAGTTCCCTAAAACTTCGCCGAGACGGCCTCGAACACATTTCTTGATAAACCGAACAATTGAGCTCCACATACAGCGCTGTGTACCTTCCACTGCCCATTTACCTCCCACCGTGAAGGTTAGTGGTTTTTCTCAACCTCCCATCGTCTTTCCCCAGTCCCCCTTCCGACGCCCAGTGTATCGTCTGCTCCCGGAAAGTTTACCCGTTTCATCTCCTCCTGGCCTCCTCTTTCTCTCCCCTATTCCTCCCATTTCAGGGTGATTTCTTCACTCTCCCCATACAATTGCCGTTTATCAATTGCCTTAGCATAAATCAAGCAGGTCGTGTGTTTTTCTTTGACACATTTATCACCGCCAAAAGACTTTAAATTGGTTTCCGTTACGACTTCAGTGGTCGTGGGGAGTTCGTGGTAGATGTTTGCGGGATGGCACTGTGAGGAGTTCACATCTGGGATTGAATTCTATCGATTTAAAATCTTTTTAGTATTTTACCGTATACAAACTTTATATAGTGTGTATTTGTGCAGCACAAAATAAATCACATATTATTTAGAAATCTTGATTTTGCCACCTGTCCGAAAGTAATATTATCGAGTTAATATTTTTCTTAATTTATTTAAAATATTTTATTGCCCTTCAGTTGCTTCTGAATATATCACAGCCGTTCAGGTGAAGATGGCAAAACGTAACGTCACCGTCTTTACAAATCTTTGTCTCCAGGAGAACTACACTAAGAATAGAAAAAACAGAAAGCAAAAATAATTTGCTTTGGAAAAAGAATTCAAAAGAGTTCTAAACAGATTTTTTTCAGTGACTGTGGCCAGTGAGGCGACCAGGTGATGGCGTCAATACGTTCTGGGTGTAGAGATCTTGTCCCGTGGGGCGACCACGTAATGGCGTCAATACGTTCTGGGTGTAGAGATCTTGTCCAGTGAGGAGACCAGGTGATGGCGTCAATACGTTCTGGGTGTAGAGATCTTGTCCCGTGGGGCGACCACGTAATGGCGTCAATACGTTCTGGGTGTAGAGATCTTGTCCAGTGAGGAGACGAGGTGATGGCGTCAATACGTTCTGCGTGTAGAGATCTTGTCCAGTGAGGAGACGAGGTGATGGCGTCAATACGTTCTGGGTGTAGAGATCTTGTCCCGTGGGGCGACCAGGAAAACTGTTCAAATGGCTAACAACTGGTGTTCTTTCTTTCTCACGCTTGCAAGTTTTGGACTTCTGATAAATATAGACAAATGAGTGCTGTCTGTGACCCAATGTGATATTTTTACGATTACGTTTCCACTTTTTCTAACTACATCTCATATGAAAACTACGTTGAGTCAAAGGCTGGCTCGTGTTAACATTTTAGAGAGAAAAACCCCGTTGGAAACTAAAATCAGCCTTTTTGACACATTTTACCCTTACCAATACATTTTGTGTTGTTTAAAGTCCGACAGCTGCAAGTGATGAAATCTATTTTTCGTGTATTTGAACTCATCAACTTCTAAGTTTTATGCAGTTCTTAATTAATGCAGATCATGTTGGCCCCAGTGAGCTTTATTCTACCTCGTTCACATGTCCTGGTCTTGATCTGCAATTGTCACCATGAATGTAAGTTTTGTTACAACACAATGTTGGCTGCCAGTTTAAGAAGCGATTAATTCCTTCAGTAACTGAAATGTTACAGAATAATTCCAAGTTTGGTATTAAGTTCCACTTTCATAAATAAAATACACGTTGTAAAGTAAACAATGTAATACAAATGAGATGTTTCAGATAACTTAATAATTCGGCTGTTCTCTTACTTGATGTAAACAATTTTGAAAATAAATCGAAACTCGTCATGATGCTAATCTTGGAGCTCTTTAGATTATTCTATAACTTCCAGAACACTGCTCCGGGGCAGGTTTATAGGTAAACACTCATTGTTGTAGTGTGACCAGCTCGAGCGTACAAGTCACTGGGCGGGTACGTGAGCGTGGTAGTACGCAGTCTTTAGCAATATTCCATCTATACATCAATACGTGGCACACCAAAAATGAGCTTCGTACATTGTATTCATATGGAGAACCGACCAAAAGAGGAGGAGACACGCGGGATTCTCGTCTGTCCTGTTATGCATATTAATGAAGTAGTTAATATGGAAAAGATAAAGTAGGTTTCATAATAAAGTTAACATGTTACAGTTATAGTTACAGTGATAGTTACAGTGATAGTTACAGTGATAGTTACAGTGATATTTTCAAACCATGTGACAATAACCTGTGGGTGGGGCTTGCAGACATCCGGGACTTTGAAGAAAGGTGTTTATCGTATGTTTCTGGTGTTGACAACCTCCTCATGTGCTTGATCGTAAGGATAATTGTACATCGACATGCAATCAATTTAAAAATGATTATATACAAAGTATGTACATTTCCTTTTTGCAGCTTTAAACATCAACTAACATAACACATCTTTGTGAGTATCTAAAATGGCATCACATTAAAGACAAACGTTCAGCCCTAGTCACATAAACCTGAGGAGTACAGCCTTTAAGATATTCATTGAGAAATGCTAACTTAAATCTACTGCACATTAGGCATTTTTTCCACTCAAGAGGAAATCTCAAAAGTCATATCGCCCCAAACAAACACATCTTACCATCTCTTGTATGTAGGTAGAACGAGAGTATCGAAGTGCCACCTAGCGGTGTCTCCTCAGACTATCTACTCTCGAAGCCATAGAGCAAGACGTTTCAAGCAAGAGTCAAAAGCTCAACTTGACGTTTGGAGTGCAGACATAAGATGATGACATCAATTCAAGTAACTGCACTTTGCTCCGGCAGGTCCACAAAGTGAGGTGCAGCCGTGGGAAGAGATTGATTAGGAGAAGTTTAAGAGAAGCTGGATTAAATGAAGCAAACATACTCCTGTGACCTCCTTCGACCATTTACTACGACTGATAACAGCTACTGAGAAATACAGTATTCACGACCATAACGTTGACATTATGAATAGCATAATGTAGGCAGAACTTGTAATCAAAAGATGTGTTATTGAACTGGACTGCTTCTAAGAGTGCAGACAGGATGTAGACATATCTTTGTTTTATCATTGCATGTTGGCAATGACATTTTCTGTGAAAAATGTCTTGTTCGCACATATATAGTATATGTATCTTATGCTTCAATTGTCATATTCATACAATGTACGAGATAATGATATTCAGCTTCCACATCAAGTTCACGAACATGATCCCGCCTGAACTGACACGCCGTGATAAAACTGAACTACTGTTCAAAATGGTGTTAAACGCAACTCACTCACTCACTCACTCACTCACTCACTCACTCACTCACTCACGAATAGAACACATCCCATGTCATGTGTTTTTCTTTGGGTCGGACAAGCATAGCGAAATCTTCGTACGTGAAGAAAGCGAGCATAAGCCCTACTTGAAAAGCACCTGTAATCGCTCCACTACAAATACTAAGGTTATCTCGACAAAACAAATACCATGTAGACTCGACACTACAAATACCATGTAATCGCTCCACTACAGATACCATGTAATCTCCACACAACAAATACCACGTGATTGCTCCACTACAAATATCATGTAATCGTGACACTGCAAATATCATGTAATATCGACACACCAAATACCAGGTAATCGTGACACTACAAATACCATTTAACAGCGACACAACACATACCATGTAATCACGACACAACAAATACCATGTAATCAAGATACTATTAATACCAATTTAAGCGCAACACAACAAATGTCATGTAATCACGACACTACAAATACCAATTTGATCGCGACACAACAAATGTCAAGTAATCTCGACACTACAAATACCATGTAATTGTAACACTACAAATACCATGTAATCGCGACACTATAAATACCATGTAATCACGACGCTACAAATACCATGTAATTGTGACACTACAAATGCCATGTAATCTCAACACTACAAATACCGTGATGTAATCTGGACACTTTAAATACCATGTAATCGTGGCACTAAAAATACCAGGTAATTGTGACACTACAAATACCATGTAATCATGACGCTACAATTACCATGTAATTGTGACACTACAAATACCATGTAATCATGACGCTACAAATACCATGTAATAGTGACGCTACAAATACCATGTAATCTGGACACTACAAATACCATGTAATCGTGACGCTACAAATACAAGGTAATCTAGACGCTACAAATGCCATGTAAACGTGACACTACAAATATCGCGACACTAAAAATACCATGTAATCATGACGCTACAAATACCATGTAA